GGTGATGTAGAAAATTCAACAAGCTAACCACCCCAACCGGCCAAATGCGACCTGATAACACGCCCACCAAAGTCGCGAACAAGTCCTTTTTTCCAATAAGCCTGCTAATCGCTTATTAAGCGGGAGAGGGGTATGGGTGCTAGGCCTTCGGCTGTTTTTTCGGCGGTGGTGTGATTGTAACAGGTTTGATTACGGACGCCAAACACGCTGGAGAACTCGGAGGTAGAGGCGTCCTATCAAAAACGCTCATTTAGCAGGGAAACAGACGCTTGCACAATGCCAGTATAAACATCCTTCCCAGTCGCCTCCAAAATCACGCAGTTGACGACTGTCAAATTCACCGATGGTATGTTATTACTGCATAGTAAACCCTGGTACGTGGTTCTTTGAACAGGTCTGACAGTGGAGCACTGCGACTTAGAAGCCTGTTTTTCAGACGCAAGCCTTTCGTGTCTGTATCTACATGGTGGTCAATTGGTTACTTCATAAAACGCCAAAATGCAGCAACTCAGAATGACAACTCACCCTCTGGGTATACTGCACGTATCTTGAGATAACTGGTAGTGAGTCGAATGACAGAGGCCTTGTCCAATTGCGCGGTGATAGCGCCTGGCAAAGGTAGCAACTTGGCGAGCTCACAGAATTCAGTGTTCTCCTTCTCCCTCCTTGTTCGCGCCGCGTTCTTAGACTTCTCCTTCATCCTCGGTGAGGTTGGCGATACGTAGGCGGTGCTGGTGGTGGTGGGGGCGGTGACGGAGCCCACCGTGACACAGTCGGCCCCCGAGAGCAGGGCAAAGGAGCTGCAAGCGGGTCGTGATTGCAGGCCTCGGTTGTCCTGCTTGTCTGAGCTGAACTCCAGTCCCATTTCCACTGATTGGTTGTACGCTGAGTAGTAGTCAGACGAAGCAGTGGTAGTGGTGCACTGACCAGGAAGTTCGTATGAAGGCATGTTGGAGTGGGAATACGAGAAGTGAGAGCCGAAATGCATTTCCTCCGTAAGTCCCACATGCGTCGGCATGAGGGGAATGTGCTGTGAAATCGGATTGTGGCCGAGGGTATATCCGGGATGAGATGGCCGGCTTGCATACATGTATATGCCGCTAAAAGGCAGATCGATCACATGGCTATTGTGAATACTGTTACACGTGATGACTTAAGATCGCCACTAATACCCCAAAGACCGAATAATTGCAATACTCGATAAGTTTTGCCACATTCTGTCTTAAATATACTTCGGATCGACGAGTGTCATTCAGGCATGACTGTTATTGCATTCCTTGATACTAAATTGTTAAGCTGCTATATCAGTCTTGGACTCCACCCTAACTTCCACCCAAACGCTCCGAAGGAAGGGTTTATCTTACAATGAGAAAAGTTGTCATTCAGCCAGCTCCTATTCCATGCTGGTCGTAAATAAAGCTTTAAGAATGATACAAAGAACAAGCTTAAGCAAATGTTCACAGAATAGTCAGACAGCGTTGCAACGTTCGTGCTTATGTTGAGAAGAGGAAACTCACAAACTTACCACGTGGAAACGTTGAGACAGTCTGTTAACACTCTTCTAGCAACAGTGACCTGTGATCGAGGAGGAGAGAGAACGATTAAGGAAGAACGTGATCTTTCAGCGTTCAGATCCGGCAGCACGGATGAGTGTGATTAACTGATTCGCTAGTGGAAACTGCTTTGTCGCGCTTTCGACCCCGGGGGAGAGGGGGTGGTACTGGGACTGGGTTGAGGGGAGGGTGCGAGGGGGGGCGGGCTGCTATCCGCAAGTCAGGCACGTCACTCCTGTGCGCGGATAACTCGTCCATCCTATTGGTTGGCAACATTGGGTAATTGGACCAATCAGGCCTTTGAATGACTTCAGCGAGATTCTCGAGCGCGTTGGCTGGGCGAGAATGTAGCGTTCACGGCAGACTGAAAAACAAACATAGGGAGAATCTAGAAGCCCATGAGGTACATTCCACTTGAAACAGATAGTCAACAGACGCCACAGTTTAGGAAATTTCAGTCCGGGAGATTAAAGCCTAGGAACATCTTGAAGGCCAAGCACTCAAAGTGTAGGCCCGACTGCGGCATTCCAGTTCAGAATCGATTGCATATGCACACAAGTCTGCTTCTAGAGTTTCGTAGAACTTTCTGAATACGAAATCACCGTCTGAGGGATACTATTACAAATAATCTTGAAAAGTCCTGCTACATTAGAAGAAAGTTAAATATAGAGGTGCCTGCAGACTTTTAGGTTTTTTTAAATTTCCTGTATTAAAAAGTTAATGTTTTATTCAATGAAGAGCCAACTCGTGCAGTCCTTCCACCAGGTCGGGTACTAGCCTTTGCCGTACGTAATGGCTGTGCTTAGCACTGAATTTCATTAACGCTGTAACAAAGATTTGGCATAGCATGTTATGCCATAGTAGTACAAGTCAAAGCTTTTAGAGGTTGAGAGCAATTATTTGTTGTTTATAAGAAGAGAGTCTTTTAATTGGAATTATTTGTTGTACGTGGTTTCGAGCATTCAGAGGCAGTAAAGTCCGCGATCATTGGAGTACCTGAGCGCTCTAACCCGGCAATTTGACAGAATTTCTGAACGTAGGCTGAGTAAATAACCATCAAATAGTTAGGACACAGTCAGGAAGCAGCATTTTGATAAATAAACAAAAAACTGGTGTAATTTAGAGGACTCAAAGACTAGTCCCAATTTACCTTGTCCAATCCAACGGCTGGAGACGCTTTGTCTTAAATCATTAAGTGATCGTTTTTACTGATTTTACCAGTTTCGTGGGCCGAATGATTTAGGCGTAGCTTGCTGGCTCGAGGGCGGCTTTCAGACATTTCCCGATAATCCAGCATCATACATTTAAAAGAAGGTTGCTTGGAATATTTGGAATGGTCTTGCATATTGTAAAAGAAAAACTGCTGAAACTACAGCGTTTGTTCCGCAGAGTTAGAGGATGGCAACACTCAAAACTGGAAAAAATTATAAAATGCGGTCGACGTACTCGAATAATGATGAGAGCTTTTATTTTGAGATTATCGGAACCTTCAGTGAAAGTATTGGCTTCCAGGTCACTATAGGGTATTTACTTCAATCCTCTTGAAAGTCCATATTTAAAAGGAGATTTTATGAAAGAGTTATTGCACAGGTGCCAACCAGACGTTCAAATGCTTTCCTACGACTGAATGGGATCGAGACCCATCAGTACGGATTTCCGAGTTCTTGCGTGGTTTCTGACAAGAACACATGTTCCAAACGCTATATTAAAAATTCACCTGGAGTTATTGTGCAATCTTAAAGCAAGTTGTTGATGCCCTAACCCCTGTGTTTCAGCCAAATATGGCCGGGTATTTTGGACTTTCCACGGAATGTCCATGGAATATTATCATCTGCTAGGAGCGCAAATTCTGCACAGAAGATCACTGCAAAGGGAGATCCCCTTCTCTTATTCGGGCTAGTTTTGTGCCCAGAAAGTTTTATCTCGTTCCCCTCAATCAATACACGACTCATAACATATTCTAGTGTTCCGCATCTCATATCGCCATCTATTCTCTGCGATGATGCGCTGATTGTTCATCGGTTGTAGCCGCTTCCAGCGGATGTCATCTTTTTGACGGACCAGTGACAATCTCCACTGGCAACCAGTAATGGCAGCGAAATGCCCTGCTATACCATTCTTGTCCGCATTATTATTCTTCCATTGTGAAGCCCATCATCTTCGTTATTGTAATATTCTCAATAACGAGGACGGTTCCTAACTGCAGCCTATTATGAGGAAGGTGTAACTGACATAGTTAGAAAACGCATCCTCTAAACCGAGGTCCGTTTTGCATCTGTGTCGGATGCGCCCGTCAGTTCTGCGAATAATCGATATTTCCAACCCACCCCCCGTTCCAGCTTGTGAGACGACGCAGGCTTCTCTGGCCATATGAACGTCCTCATTTTCACATTCATTTAATGAGTACGAAGTATTATAGTTATAAATTCACCTCATAACTATGTAGGTATTTCGGCAACCTGTAAAATACCTAACTAGACGGCAATATAAACACCCCGAAGCCTGAAATCAACCTCATGACAGACCCCACAGGATCCCATGAATGCGGCAACCTCCAACACTTCTCAAACGTCATTGTTGAGTGCTGTTTGTAATACCTATGATCACGGTACCAGCAAAAACAACGTCAAGAACACCATCCCAAATTTACGTAGACATTTCTAAACCGTACCTTCTCTATAAAACCCTGCAACGTTCGATTCTTTCGTCTTGTCCGTGTACATACACATCAGTATTATTACACGATGTATCATGTCAGTAGAAGCAAATCCGCATTATGCGGCCATATAAAGGTATCACCCCTTCTTTCCCTGTAAATTTATGGGGTATATCGCCAACAGGCCAAAAAAGTGGAGTGGGCATACGTTCAAGTGTGTCATTTTCGTAATCCATATCACTATGATCCAAGGAAATGGATTTGGAGAACCTACTGTTGGAAGTATCATTTCCGAGTTCGATAGTCAAGTTCGTGCGTCTACCAAAGGAAGGTTGGTAACCGCCACGTAAGCTTGGATTTCCGGGGGAGAGATGACTATATTTCGGCCCTGACAAATGCTGTAAAGGTGCAGTCCAAACCGGCTAAAGAGCTTGGAGTGGAGGCGCTCGTAGGCATACCTTCTGGACATATACATGCACCAAATTTTCCTAGCTTCACAATACTTCAGCCTTGAATGCCTTCGGGAGTGAATCCATACAGCTTTTCTTAACTTCATTTGCTAGCCAAAGAGGTTATAGATGAGAGGTGATATAAGTTGGCACTCGTGTGAAATTGTCCTAAAGCCAAGACTAACAAACAGGACACAGAACCACACGCACAGTGCCCGCCGTTGCCTGGGAGATGACGCGGGTCATCCCTTGCGTGGCATGGGGAAGGTGGAGGACACGATCTGTCCTATCGAGGCTGCTTCGATCGTCCCTGATCAGTTCGTGTTTCACTAACACAGTCGCAAGCTTTAACAATCACAAAGGAGCAATATGTCACTGGTAATGATGAAAGTCTACTGGCCTTCGAACTTGCTCTCCCCCCCCACCCTCTCCCCCCTCCCTCGATGGCGCTTTCAGGCCGACCCCTCACCCCACCAAGAAGATATCAATCATCACCTACCATAGCCACGTGCACCTCGGTCAGCTTGTACTACCAGGTGCATGATACCGCTCCGCCCACGTACCTCGCGAGATTTCGTTATCTTTTAAGCTTACATTCATTGGGTGTGAAAGGCAGTACATATCGGCGTCTAAACTGTAAATCCAACACTACCACCACCACCACCACCACCACCACCACCACCACCACCACCACCACCACCACCGCCACCATCATCCGAAATGCTACGCTCTCACCTATGACGTGTCCGGGAGCGGTATGTCGCATAGTTCACAGCTTAGTCAACGCACTATACTGCAGTCCAGATTACGACGGATGGCGCAGGCGCAGATCCTGTTCGACTCAGACTGTAAATTGGGCGAGGAGTCATTGGTAAACGTTGTGACAGGGCGTACCTGGCAAGAAGGTACACAGTCTCCCGGGAAAACTGACCGGCTTCTAGCAAGAAGCTTATTCGATTCAAGTCCTGCATAGTTAGGCTGCTATGCAAGAGGTCAGTCAAGTCAGGATACAGTGTAGGCGTGCGCGTATACTTCAGATGCCATGTCCCACAACCATACATAATAGTAAGCGTTTGCTTATCATCCCGTCCTGTGCTGGAGCGAAGGATATTTAGGCAGTCGCGTATTCAGTAATATGTGGTTGTGTAGCCTCACCTAATGGACACAATACTGTTGGGGTTGGGGTCAGAGGTTAGGGTTAGGGCAACTATATCTCAACTACGCAAGGACAGCCGCGCATTCCCAATAACTTTTCTTTTGCCTACAACTACCTAACCTCATCGCCTGTGCGTTCCCCCGACCCACCTGTAAAAACCCCCTATTACCACCAGTCCCGTATTAAAGGTGGCTGGGATTTGTTTACTTCAGATGGGGCTACATGATCACATCTGACCACGAATTCATAAATCTCCACTCGACAATTTATCCGTCA